GAAAAAATAAACGATAAATAAAATTTTAAAAATATACCATTTGTGTTTTTAGAGACAAACAAGATAAAATAAAATAAAAAATTTATAATTATCGAATCGATTTAATTTTTTCATTAATGATATACATTTAGAGTCTTATAAAATGAACGATTCGATAACTTGATCAATTTGACAAAAACCTCCTCTCTCTCTCTCTCTCTCTCTCTCTCTCTCTCTCTCTCTAAAAACCTCTCTTTTCTTTTTCTGAAAACCTCCATCTCCGGCCTCTTTTTGGGCCGGTTGGCCGCTGCCTTTGGCGATGGCGGTCGGCTGGCCTAGCTTGTTCTTTTCCTTTGCCTTTTCAGTTTTTTCATTTCAATAAACTTGAGTCCCCCGTTTTCATCCCTCTTTGGTGTGCTTCGTTGCTGCGAGTTAGTGGTTGGTGTGTCCAGGCTTTGTCTTCAGTTTGTCCTCGTCTGCTTTAACCTTGTTGCAGTAGCTGTTTCAGCAGGGGCTTCCAGGTATTTCACTCGAGCGCTTTTGGCGAGTTGGAGCTTGAGGGGTGCGATCCAGTTCTGTCCGGTTGTCACTCGAGCGCTCCTCCTCGAGTAAGAGTTTGAGAGGTGAGTTTCTACCTTTGTTTGGAGGTGTCCTAGCAGGTGGTCGGTGCTCGGTGGGTGTGCGGATCCGCGGTGTGTGATTGAAGACCTGTTGGTTTTGGTGCTTGGCAGTGGATATTGGGTGCGAGAAAGAAGAGGACCTAATGTAGCAGAGGAGGTGTAGTTATTTTTTTGTGGGCTGCAGCACAGGTTAAGGCGTGGGGATTGGGTGTGAGCAAGAAGAAGATCTGGTGGGAGATGCTATGTGGGTATCTTCGGCAGTGGGTGTTGTTCCCGGCGGTGGTTTTTGGAGTCTTCTCGGCAGAGGCGTGGCTTGTTGGTGGAGTGGGTAGTAGCTATGGAGTTGCAGCAGCTTAGAGGTGGCGTGGGCAGCAGCTAGGAGAGGGTGGTTGAAGCTGCAGAGGCGTGTCTTGTTCTTGCAGCAGCGTCAGAGGAGTGGACTTGGCAGAGGCGTTGGTGTTGTTCCCGAGGTTGGTTTAGTTAATTTAGTTTAGTTTGGGTGCAGGGTAGTTCATTTAGTTTGTATTGGGTGTTTTGGTGGGTTGAATATGTGGGGATTCATGTATTTTAATTCTCTAGTTAAGTTCTTCTTAACTTTTCTGCTTAAAAAATCGAGAGGCTTGGGGGTTGATTGTATAGATGCGAGTAGCAGTAGTAGGGATATTTTTATACTTCTGAATCTCTCTCGATGCATGTCATCTTCCTGTACCTTTAATTTCATGCTATTAAATGAAATTTCTCTTTGCTGATCAAAAAAAAATGAACAATTCGAATCATGAAAATAAGATCCATGATAAAGTCTATAGACCCCTAAAATTCTCCCATGTTAGAATTTAAATATGAGAAAAATTCAACTCTTACATTTAGTAGTAAAACTTGGGGGAGTAAGTACTTTTTGTTATAATTTTAGAGGACAAAATGGCAAATGACAAAGGAAGCTCCAGACAAACGTATTTGGCTGGAAGAGCTCCCAGAGGCTAGTGCATATTTTGTTGAGTGAAGCTCCCATTTTGTGAAGGGGGCCGAACCCTCCACCCACTAACGAAAAAAATAAATAAAGTAAGAAATGCACCACAATACTATAAAACTATCAAAAAAATCACTCAATGTGATGGGCCATTATCCTCCATTCGACAAATTTTTGTAACTTATCATCGACAATTTTTTTAGTCATATATAAAATTTATTTAAAAAAAATAACAAAAATAATATGACAATGTTATTATGATAAATAAATTCATTTTTATAAATATATTGTTTTCAAATAAATAGATTTTATTGAATCACGTCATTTTGTGTAAATTTTCTGTTTATATATTATAATTCTATTATAAATAAAATTTTTGCAATCATTTTGTATAAGATTACAATCACACACATTTTTATAATATTTATTACCATCTACTCACAATGAAAGTGTGTCCCATATCTTGTGATGATATGAAATTTATTCCCATTATGAATAGATGGTAAAAAAAAATTATAAAAAAAAGTGTGACTAAAGTTGGACTCGCAATTTAAACATTTTTTCATTTGTCTTTCTAACTTCATTTGTCTTTCTAACTTCACATATTTATTTTCCTCTCTATCTTATGTATTGTGTTATGCCACTACAACATTTTCTTAATTTAGTGACATCTGAAAGTGTCACAAAACTATTGATTTAATGATATTTTTTAGTATTGTTGCATTTTGAACAAGTGTCATTTGTACTAGTGCCACGGTAGATATTTGCAAGTGTCACTGCACCATCATGGCTAAAAACTTTTAATTTGCATTTTAATGTCATGGTAGATATTATTTGTGGCACTATCAAGCGCCATTAAAAAGAGTTAGTGACACTTATAAGTGTCTTTACACCATCAAGACTAAAACCTTTTAATGACACTTTAATGTCATGGTCGGCACTATTCGTGACACTATCAAATGCCATTAAAGAAGACTTGCAATCTAAAAAATGCCACGAAATGGATTTTTAATGACGCTTATTATGCCACAATTGATATTTATAACACCTTTATAAATGCCACTAAATCCAATTCATTTGTGCCATTAAATAGATATAAGTGCCATTGGAACTTATTTTAGTGACACCTTGCAAAGCTACTATCACTACTACAAAATGCCACTTACATATTTTTTTCATTGACACTTTTAAAAGCTACAATTATGCATGCGTAAATACCTATAAAAATTGAATCAATTTTATAAACAATTAAATATTAATTGCCACATCATATATTAATTTGACATTCATTCATCCTGTAATATTTTCATAATAAAAAATAAATATTACCACCATAAGATCATCACATCAAAAATAAAAAAAAAATTCAAACCACAATCAATTATTTATTATTGAAATATAAAATTATTTATATTGCAAAAAAAATCCCTTGCCAAAATTATTAAATATTCTACCACACTAACAAAGTTAAAGCAAAAACAATTTAAAAGAAAATTATTCCAACCATAAGTTTTGAAAAGCCATAGTGATATGCATATTCCGGAGAGAAAAATTATCAAAAATAAAATCAGTTCCCAAATTCTCAACCTCACTTATATAAATATTTTCGGCTAGCATCCATAACTTGTGAAATCTGCATCCAAAAGATAAACATACGAAGGTAATTGAAACTATATTAAGTTAATATAAATTTGTTAATAAAATTAGTATTTACGAAAGAAATATACCACAAATGGAGCAGGCCAAGCAACATGAGCTCCAATAGCTTGTCCAATTGTTTTGACAAGTCCATATGATCGGATCAAGCTCTCATTAGGTTTGATTGGCACTTGAACATGTACCTCCCAATAGTCAGGTCCTAGTTCTTCCCCTTCTACTTCTTTAGATGCGTCTGTGCTTTTAAGTACTCCGATTGCAACTGTTTCTGTTGGCCTAATGATACTGTTTAGAACAACTATATCCCCCACCTGTAAATCAAGATTTAACTACTTAACTAATTGTATATTTAAAATTAATAAATAATATTTAAAAAAAAAACTAGTACAAAGTGCTAGAGTGAAGATAATCACAACTGAAAGTGATATGGATTTCTCTAGTAGATAAGCAAGCCAAATGCTTTAACCACTTAATAGGTTCACTACACTACAACAAATTATATAAAAGTAAAAATCGTAAAACTTTAGACCATATCAACAATAGCTTAAAAAATCAATAACAACCAAAGGCACCAATCAACAACAATCAAAACCATATCCATTATCAATATCAGGATCACCTAACCTCAACGATGTAAATCAAATGTAATTGTGAAAAATGACAATCAACTAATTACTTTCAAGCAATATTTTGAGAGAATCAGAAAGAGCCCATGCGTTAATAAATGATTGAGAGATGTCTTGTTAAAGCTTTAGAAGAAAATTAAATTAATTTTTTTTAAAAAAATAGCACAAACTTCGTCATGTCATGATTTAGACTATGTAGCACATTTTGTCTTGATTTAAATAATGAAATTTATGTCCGCAATATTCATTCCTTGGTTAATTGTAAAATAAGTGTTACATGCTATTCTAAAAAAAAGTTGGAAGTAATGTGATATATATGATTAGCTCTTAGTAGGTACCTAAGTAAGAGAAGTATCTTGTATCGATGACAAAGACCATGCTTGATGTCGAGCTGCCATGTCGAGAGGAGTAGAAGTTGTTGTGGCCTAACCAAATTTAAACTATTTAATTTTGCAAACACGCACACATAGATATATGTATGCATATATAAGTGTAGGAAAACATTAATAACTTATAAATTCTATTAAAAAAATTACCTGATTAGATGTGTTTGTCAAGTTATTCGGAGCATGCTGAACATGGGAAACTTTGGACCTTAGCTCCGAATTTTCAGCTTCCATAACATCCATTGTTGTGTCTTGGTTTGCTTTATGACCAGATGTATCTCTCCATAAATTAGACGGGGAGACACCTAATCCATACATGCGAACTCGTCCATGTTTTTCCTTACCCATCACTTGTCCAAATGCATCATTAGGGCCCTTATTTGATAAATTTGCATTTAAGGTTGTCCTCTCATTCATTTCATCCTATAAGGTTGCAAAAAACATGACTTAATATATACATTTCAATAACTCAACACTATAATGTGGAAATTTTAACTAATCTACAAGTTCAAATCAACATAATTATTTGGTACATACTATCATTGCTTTCGTTGCCTCAAGGGTTCCTGTCTCCTTTGTATAACATAGTTTAAACATGTGAGCACGAGTTGGAGAGTGTCCAGTTTAAACATGTGAGCACGAGTTGGAGAGTGTCCCAACTTATTTTTCTACAAAATAATATATTCCAAAATATAAATTATATCATTATGTCACATTATGTATACCTTATCATATTAAATATACAACATGAAAAGATGAATTAACATGCTCCTTTTGAACACGTGGAAAACTTTTTGTTCCAGTAGTATGATTATACTTTCGCTCTGCACGACTTGCTTTGTTTTTATCACTTTGTGCCTAAAATTACAAATGCATAAATTAATGGTGTCCAAACTACAGCAAGTAAAATAACATATAATGATAAGATCGAGTATACCTTTACTTCTTCGATGGCCCAATACTTAATAAGGTGTTCCCACTTATCAGCAAAACTCAAGTGGTTCTTATAATAATTTTTCTTTATGTTTGCCTTCCAGTCTTTTAACTTCTTACTAGAGCACTTCATAACCCACTTCCTATTATGACTTGGAAGATCAAACTTTGACTGAAAAAAGAAAGAAAGAGAGAGAGAGAGAGAGAGAGAGAGAGAGAAGAATACAATAATAAAAAATTAATCTTCCCACAATAAAAAATTAAAAATAAACAAAATTATAAAGAGTGTTGTTTTAATCACATTACTCATGTTTATTATTTTTCACATGTGATCATCTTTCGCACAATAGTGTCATTTACCTGTACAAGTGCCCATATGTGATCTTTGTAATGTTCTGGGACTTTATGCCAATTCTTGTAAGTGAGTGGTGCATTTTTCCCAACACACACAATAGTTCCAATGAACGATGATAACTTTGTTGCCAATTTGTCATCAAGTTGGCCAAGTTTGTTCCAATTGACTGTTAGGCGCTCATCATCACGAGTACCCCAAATATTACGCATTTGCATGGGACCTCTAGTTTTCTTTTGTCCACTAGCACCATCTAGTTATAAAAAATAAATAAATAATAATACTAATAACAAATTATATACGAAAAAATAGTAACATTTTTATAATGTTTGAACTTGCATACCTGCATTATCATTGGATTGGCTAGAATTTGGCTGTATCTCAGATGGAGTTGACTCACTAAACTCACCAACATTGCCTAAGCGAAACTGAAGATATGGGTCCATAGGCTTTTTGCTTTATAGATGAATCCTAGTATGATTCAAGTAAAATAGACAAATCAAATTGTAAACTTAGAATGATCCAAATAAATTATTTGCAAATGAACAAAATACTTGAAGAAAATTAACAAAAAAAAAATTGTGAATTCACCTTTATTGCGTTGCTATCTTGGTAGTGACTAAATGTAACATATAGTGAATAAATATTTTGTAGCCACATATGAAAATCACATAGTTAAATTAAAAACGCATTATTCATTCTTCAAACAATCAATTAAATTAACAAAAACAATGATAAAGAAAGAGAACAAAATGAAACTATAGAATTGTTTTCAAATATAAATAACTAGCAATGTTCAATAAGTTTAACAGTCACATAAGATCTAATTCTTCCTCATCTCCATCATCATCTCCATCATCATGAACATTGTTGTCTCTCAACACCTGAGAAAGTGGTGTATCTACAATTGCAACAGACATGTCTGTCCGAACCAAATCAAAATTATTGTCCCCATCACCACTTTGTAATTGCATACAACACTCTACAAGTATGCCTCCACATTGTCCACAGAAGACCCCGCATTCATATCATAAAAATCTCTCGGATTTATCTTGATAGCAACTTGCCAATCTTTGTGTTTCAGGTCTTCTACATACATTACATGTTCTACTTGAGAAGCCAACACAAAAGACTCAGCATCTTTCATTAATCGTGCAAAGTTGACTAGTGTGCAATCTTTATCTTGTCTTTTCCTTGATTGTGACACCCATTCACCTTTAAATAACACGACCCTCTTCCCAAACAAATAATCTAACTCAATTATATCTGTTAACACGCCATAAAATGTAACATCTCCAGAGACCGGATTTCCATCTCTACCACTTGCAAAGCTTCGTGTTTTTGCCGGACAATAATCCCACTATTTTGAGTTTTTTTTCTTTCGCTCAATCTCCTTAGTATGGAACCTAAAACCATTTATCAAGTATCGCTTATATTTTGTGAAAATTCTATTTGGACCATGAGCCAAACATCTAAGCTCTTCAGTTATTTTACTATCCCCTGCATTATGCAATTCCTCAACCTGTTTTCAAACAATTGACGACATAACTTTTGTAAGTGTGGAATGAAATTAAAGTTAATATCAAATCAAATTTTAAGGAACTTCAAAACACTGCTTATATGTTTATCAAACCATGTTGGAAATGTTTCACTATGAATGCGATCAATGGCCATTTCACGAAGACGTGGATTTTGTATGGAAACAAGTCTACGGTGTTGTCTGTATGCCATATAAAAGATTTGTGAGTGTGTGAAAAAAGTATGTAAAATAATAATAATAATAATAATAATGAAATTGATTACAGATGTCGAGTGTCTTACATAATAAATTTGTTGACTGTCTCACAATTAAATAGCACATATCGATGTGCCTTTTCTTTTGTGCCATCATCCATTGTGTCTGTCACGCCCTTACCTAATGGTCGGCCAGGCATTGAGAAAATAGATAATCCTTCGGTACCATTACCCCCCTCATCATAATTTCGAGACATCCGGTTGAATCGTGTCTTAACACCTTCCATATACCTCGAGCAAAATGTCAAGCATTCATTTGCAAGGTATTCTTTTGCCATACTACCCTCCGGTCAGCTTCTATTTCGCACATATGACTTTAATCTACTCAAGTACCTATGTTTTGGTAAGTTCAAAAAAAAAAATTTTGAATGATGTTCGATAATAACAAAAGTAAAATATAATAATGATGGTAAAGAAATATGTAATTTAATATAAACTTTACCTCTTAACAGAATACATCCAACGATAATGCACAGGTCCTGCTAATCTAGCCTCAAATGCAAAGTGAACCACCAAATGCACCATAATGTCAAAAAAGTTAGGGGAAAATATTTTTTCAAACTTACAAAGTGTTATCAGAATTTGCCTCTCAAGATGCATAAAGTCTTGTGCCAAACCAACTTTAGAACATAACTCTCGAAAGAAATTACTCAACTCAATCAAAGGTGAAGTTACATGTGAACTCAACATTCCTCGAATTGCTAAACGGAATAATTATTGCATCAAAATATGGCAATCATGACTTTTAAGTCCAAAAATTCTACGTTGCTTTAAGTCGATGCATCGTGAAATATTCGCTGCATAACCATTAGGAACTTTAACAGTCTTCAAAAATTTACAAAAAACATCTTTTTCTTATTTCTTTAATGAGAAACAAGAAGGAGGCAAGATGGTTTTATTTGCTGCATTTTCTTTTGGATGGAGTTCAGGCCTTATACCTTGAAGTTTCAAGTCAAGACGTGCATTTAGATTATCCTTTGTCTTCCCCTCTAAATTCAGTAGTGTTCCAAGCAAGCTCTCACATACATTTTTCTCAATGTGCATCACATCAAGATTATGACGCACTAAATTATCCTTCCAATATGGTAATTCAAAGAATATGCTTCTTTTCTTCCAATTATATGGTAATTCTAGATTAGTACTCATCTTTCCATAAGTGATATTGAAGCCATGTAACATATCCAATACCATAGAACCAGTTAAAGGATTGGGTCCAGTTCTTTTTTCTTTAGTACCATCAAAAGATCGCTCATCATCTCGAAATGCATGATGTTTGTCCAAGAATCGACGATGACCCATGTAACAATGTTTTCGGCCATGCTTCAACCACTGGAAGCATGTGTCTTTGTGGCATGAAGGGCATGCATACTTCCCCTTAGTACTCCACCCTGACAAATAAGCAGAAGCAGGGAAGTCGCTGATAGTCCACATTAATGCTGCAGGTAATTGGAAATTTTATTTAATTGATGCATCATATGTCTCTACTCTATCCACCCATAATTCCTTTAATTCATCTATTAAAGGTTCCAAATGCACATCAATATTATTTCCAGGTGCACTACGACCAGGGATAATCAATGATAATAGAAAATTGGTATGCTTTATACACATCCATAGAGGCAAATTATACGGTATAAGAATTACAGGCCAGGTGCTATACGTGCTGCTCAATGTTCTGAAAGGGTTCACACCATCACTCGCCAACCCAAGTCTGACATTTCTACAATCTGCTGCAAAATCAGGATGTAGGTGGTCAAAAGTCATCCAAGCTGGAGAATCGGCAGGATGTCTCATACAACCATCATTGGTGCGACCTTCTTTATGCCACTTCATAGTTGATGCTGTTTTGGATGACATGAATAACCTTTGTAGCCTTGGTATCAAAGGAAAGTAATGTAGAACCTTAGAAGGTGTTTTATAGCTGCCTTTTTTAGAGGATGCCTCGTTGCCTGAATCATTTTGCTCTGTTACATACCTAGATGTATGGCAAACATAACATTCAGAATCAGTTTTGTGCTCATTCCTATACAACATGAAATCATTGGGACATGCATGAATCTTCTCATAACTAAGTCCTAACTCCATGACTATTTGCTCAACTTCATAAACAGTATTAGGCAGTGTTATACCCTCTAGGAATGCCTCCTTCAATAACTCTAATAACATGGTGAACGATTTATTACTCCATCCACCTAAATTCTTGATGTGAAATAACTGAAGGATGAATGAGAGCTTTGTAAAATTCCTACATTATGGATAAAGCTCCTTTTGTCCATCATGTATCAACTTGTAGAACTTCTTTGCTTGTGGATTTGGTTTATCTCCCAAATCTTCAGGGTTGTCTCCATTGACTCTATCATCGTCATTTGAGATTCCAAATGCCTCATGAACTAATCCATGTGTATCAATATTTAATTGTGGCCTATCCTGCATGTGCATATCAAGACCTGTTGTAGCAACAGATGATGCTTCACCATGTAAAACCCATTTAGTGTAACCCTTTGTGAAGCCATCACATACTAAGTGATCATATGCAATTGACCGAGTGACGGGAAGTGTAAGTCCACACTTGATGCATGGACATATGATCATATCCTCATAACTTGCATTAGTAAATGCAAAATCGAGAAACATATCAACTCCTTTCTGGTATGCATCACTTAATCTTGATCGATACATCCATGTCTTATCCATAAGTAAACAATCTCGATTAAACAAGTGCCCAAAGTGTTTCTAGAACATTAAAAAAATATATATCAATAACAGGTATTTGTAAGCTATGATTGACAAAAATAACTAAACTTTATTTTGCAAGAACTATAAGATACTAACAACAATGGCCCTGTTTGGTGTAGCTGTTAAAACAGCTTATAGATTATAGCTTAACAGATTATAGATTATGACTTTAAT